AAGAACAACAACATTTAACACATCTAGGATTATGGAGTTTCATAACGCAGAGCCAAGTTAGCTGCCCAACTATAACGGGGTGGGAGCACCAGAATAAAAACAACAGACGGTTACACACAACTTAAACATATCAAGAAACAACTTTAAATGTGATAACATTCTACAAACCTTTCAATCTCTTTTTAAATTCAAGGTACCATCCTTTCACTAGCTGGCTTTGCGTAAAATAACAAGTTATCTCGGAAGCTAGCAATCACCTGTTGAGCTCAGGCCCCCAGGAAGTGCGCTGGTCGTTGAAGCCGATTTTTATGAATGGCCATAGTGGCCAAACAGTGGTACTACAGCCTCCGTGACGTCATAAATATTTTTTCCCATTGACTTAAATTGGGAAAGAGACGTCTGTAACTCAGCGTATACGTTTTTTTTCAGCTAAATAAACTACCTAGCACGAACACTTGCATAGTCCTTATTTGATTCAGTAGGTTATAAAAGTTGTTAAATGCGCTAAAAGGTGATTACAGAGTTGTTTCATCTCTTCATTCATTTTACTGAGCACAGAGCGGTATATCGGAGGCGGGGCTTAGAGGAAAACTCCAGTGCGCATGCTCTATGGGCCCACATACGGGTACTTTCTGGATCTACAGTCGCTTCATTTTGGGCTTTACTGAGCAACTCTCATAGGAATGAACGCTGTATCCAGCTCTTTACAGATCCATGGTTGAGCTCCATGCAAAGTCTGCAACCAGCATCAAAGACAAACTCCTCAAAGAACCGCATTAAGTGTAACTGGAGGGACGTTGTGGAAAATGAAGACACGAAAACACACCTCTTAATTCTGCTCTGTTGTTGTTTTACTTTAAGCTAATTAAAGCTAACTGCTTAGCTTGTTTTTTTCAAATAGAAGCGGTTGTAGGCGCTAGCAACAAGTGGCTAACAGTTAGCTAGCTTAAGAGTAACTGGGATTTAATATGAGCCATTTTGTGATAAATTCCCTATCAAGGAAACTGTAGAAGTAGTTCCCCTTGGTAACACACGGACTCAACTTTGACACACACACATAATTCAGAATAAAAAGCAAGGAGCTGTTGTTGGCTATATAATTAGCATTTAGCATCATAGCTAACGGCAAGGATGCCCTGGAAAAGTCCCATTGAGAAACAACGGGAGTGATCCACCTGATCCCGCTACACAGGCTGCCTCTTACCGGGTTTATCCGATCAGCTGCATCCGAAAACCACACGTATCCTGCCCGTGGGATAGACACATCACTTTGGCCATTGAGATCAACAGCAACAAGTATCCCACATTCTCGGTTTTGTCCAGTTTTTGTTGTCCTCCTCTCACTGGGAACAATCTCTGGCATACAAACGGCGCATTCCACAGGCTGCTTCTCCTCTGTGGCTGAATCCCCACAGGGCTGCTTACAATTAAAGGGACACTGCGTTGTTTTCTCACGCCTCTGTAGTGTGTACTGTGACTGTGCACAACAAGTGTCAAAATGTAGGATTTTGTAACTTAATTTTTGCAATTATTCAACTGTGTAACTGAATGATTTGCAATTAATCAAATGGGCCATTCTCATATCACTTTGGTGTTATTAGAGTGTACATTTTGAGCAATATTCATTATATGATGTGTATTTTCGTAAATTGTGTAATCTTTCAATTTTTTTGTATCTATAATATTTTTGTTATGCATGCTTCTTAGTCAACATTAAGCTGTCTTTGGATCTTTTCTGCTGTAACAAATGTAAATGTCCCCTCTGTGGGACGAATAAAGGTATTCTGATTAGTAATACCATTATTATTGATACACGTTTGTCAATAATGTAACATACATTATTTTACATCAGCTTTCTGTCCCCAGAGTCAGAACTAAACATGGTAAAGCAGCGTTCAGTTATTATGCTCCAAATATCTGGAACAAACTCCCAGAAACCTGCAGGTCCGCTACAACTCTTACTACTTTTAAATCCAGGCTGAAGACTTTTCTTTTTGCCGCTGCTTTTAATTGAACTATTCACATCTTAAACTGCACTGTAACTTTTATCCATGTATTTTTTCTTTTAATGTTTATTTTATTATCTTTTATTTTTAATGACTGATTTTAAATGCCATTTTCTTAATGTCTTCCATTTTTGTAAAGCACTTTGAATTGCCTTGTGTTGAAAGGTGCTATATAAATAAACTTGCCTTGCCTTGCCTTACATATTTTATTATCGTATCTATTTATATCTACATTTTATTTTATATTTTATTGTTACCATTTAACTGTCAAATTGGGCTTACATTTTTATTCAGAACGGCATTAAAAAAAGTAATTAAACGTTTTATTTTCGTCTTGTGGTTAGCTGTAGGAACCAAAGATGCGACAAAGATGTCAACAAGTATATTAAGGGGTAGAATAAAGTTATAAATATGAATTCCTTACAAAATATGTGATTGGTTCCTGTATGATTCTTGAATATGTTGTGATTAAATACAGTGCTGATGGTGTGTGTACCAATACACTATTGTAACATGCATATTTTTACATAAATATGGCACTTAACCATCAGCAACTGTGCCATTCGGCGTTCATATTTAATTAACACTGTATATATTGTAATACAAATGTTATATAATATAAAACAAAGAGTATTAATACTACATTTTTACTTTTAACTTCTTATGTCTATATAAACATTTAGATTATTTTTTATTTAATTGTATCCTTAATTTGAGTATTTATTTAATATTTTATTCTTTATAATATAATATAAAAATCATAAATATTCTTATTTTGTCTTATTTAACTTTATTCTAAAATGGAGCAACCTTTGCAAAATCCATCCGTCATTTCCCTAAGGGATAAATAAAGTATACTGACGCTCAATAACTCAACAGCCGTTCTTGATGAATGGGGAATGACCTCATAGGTAAAGTAAGAGAGACAGATGTGATATTGGTTTCTGCTTAATGTCTAAAGGAGCAGCGCAGCAGTCTGAATCACACTGGCTGTGTGGTACCCTCTGTTTTGAAGTATGCCAGAACAACTTTGTTTAATAAGCACCGTATTAAAAACAATCGTACATTATACCCCTCCTGCCAGACAGCAGGATTTATAAATGTCCTATGGCCTTTGTCTCCCACAGAATTGAAGGATAAGGGTATTAGGTAGCAGCCATGAAAAATAAGGAAGTGGAATCACAAAGCGACTTACTGCTCCTCTCCTTGCACTTCTGGAAACCGTCAAGTTTGAAGAAATGGAAATGGCACTAATGTTGAGAACAGTTCTGTTTTTTTTGTTGATGAAACTTCATTTGGTGTTATGAAATTCACCAGCAAGAGACCACATGGCTTACGAGAAACAGTCTCTGATTTACAATAAAGACGGGTGGCATAAGTCTGACTGTGTTATGAGGAAATTGGATAGTTAAAGGTGGGGTATGTCATTTATTTCAGAAACACTTGTTGTTATATTCCATGGAATGCTCTTAACATCCCGATAGCAATGAATATATTAAATGCTTTGACAATAAATACATGAAAAAAATTCATCTGTGGAAGCCGTAGTACTGTAAAAAGCACGACCAATCATCTGAGCCGGCCCGGCTAAAATAACTGGATGGCCTACCTGCCTGTCAGCCTTCCATCTCGTGCACAAACTTATCTCGTGCCCTCATTGGTCAAGTGCGCGTTCGTGTGTGTTGGAGGAGGGGCTCTGTAAGGGAGTCTGAAGGAAGTGGCAGATTTTTTCCGGTTGTGTATTTTCAAATTCTAGCGCACTCGAGCTGGTTTCTCCAAAATGACATACCCCACCTTTAATCAATTTAAACAATTATTTTAATAAAAAGGTTAACCTCCTGCTATTTCCAGCTATCTCAGTCTTTATATGGATCAGAGTTCAACCACTGTGCTTGGTCTTTACTCTGGTATTGCAGCCTTATCAGCTGACATGCAGGAGTGGCATAGGAAAAAAAGGAGCCGCTGGGTAATAAAATGTCGAATGGACACACAAAGCAGTGGCTGGTCCTGATAAAACAAGCCAACACACACAGAATCACAGAAAACATGAAGAATATTTCAGGCCAGAGCAACAAATGTCGTGCATGCTGTACATTCACATAAACAGCTGTCAGGCAGTGGTGCTAATAAATCAGATAACACATCCAAACAAGTGGGCGGTGCAAAAGTAAGAGCTGCAGTGTGAAAGAAACATGCACAAAAGAGGAACTGAAACTGAACAACGTCTTCTTTAAAGCAGTAACATGCTAAAAGAAAAGCCTGGATCAATGAGATAAATGGCATTTACTGTGATAATCACTTCCACAGAGGGAAATCTTGCTATCTTGTGTATTTTAAATGCTATAAAAGAGCAGTGTGCAAATCCTTAAAAGTCAGGCTTAGATTTCTATTAATTAATATACAAATAAAAGCCTTACTTTGTAATAAAATGTAGTAAATCAGTTGTTCAAAAGCCTTTGAAATGCCCGAACGTGTGAGGCAGGATTTTAAGAATCATTGCTAATTACGTGATTGGAAATAAATGTAGCTGTAGCAACCCCGTGTAATCTCCCACGTAACAAAAGACGTCAAGAAGTGTATTAAATGAGAGAATAAATTGTAATAGTAATACCTAAAGAGACTATTTAAGTATTTCCTGTATAATTCTTAAATATTTTATGATTTAATATGGTTTCTTGTTGTGTAATTATGAGGGGTATTTCTTTGCCTGTGCGCTTGAATGCTTCATCAGGTGTACCAAATGACAAAAAAGTAGAAAATAATCACCCTTAAAAAGAATATTTACATATAATTCTTGAATATTTTGTGATTTAATGAAGTTCTAGTTGTGTGATAGTGTGTGATTTGGGAGGTGTTTGTGCTTGAGTGCTCCAACCTGTGTGTGGGCGAGCATGCGTGCATTAGCGTGTGTATACATAGTGGAAAGTGTCTGTGTGTGAGCGCAGCACATGTGCCATCCTCTCTGCGTGTGCTGCAGGTTGTGGTGTTACTCACTCATGCACTGCAGGCCATGCTTCCTCTGCAGGGTCTTGCTGCACAGAGAGCAGGTGGCACAGCTGGAGAAAGACCCCGGCACCAGATGATGGCCGTGACACCTCCTGCTGCCATACACTGTGTCTTTCTCCTTCTCCTTCTCCTTCTGATGTTCCTTCTCTCGGTTCTTACCCTGCAGAGGAACAAGAGGAGAGGGTTTTACATGCAAATGTGTGTGTTCTCTTTCACTGTCTTATGGCTGGGGATGTATGAGATTGCATAAGCGTGTCAGAGGCAGGATATAGAACGGGGTTTGTGTAAGTAGATTAGAGACTTGTGTGTGTTGCAGGCACACCAGTGGACTGTTTACACTGCAGGATTTGGTCTTTTCATGCACATCAATTTTATCTTTTAAAACGGCATAATGCAATTTAAATGCATCACAAAAATAGCACTTCAAAAGTAATTGTAATCAAATGAGCGTCATATACATTTTTCTGTATTATTATGTATTGTCATTTTTTTAAATAATAACAAATTATCATTGTTATGATTGTTATTTTATTATACTTCTTTACAATTTGAAATACAAGTATTCACATGTTATGCCTACACTACACAAGATTTTAAGATACATTTTTGAACATCTGATTGTTTTTAAAAATTGGATAAAGATGTCACAACGTATCTGAAATTGTATAGTAGTCAACATTTACTCACTACAAAACTAAAATGCTGGACCACGTTAATGCACCTGTAGTAATATTTTAATGTTTTATACAATAAAATATATTATATATTTAACACAAAAACATTTTAATTGTATTCATAATGAGTACTTTTGCTAATCCAAGTAGTCTTTTTCTTAATTTGGACCTTACCTTGTACCAGATTTGATATAAAAAATGCATTTTTTAGCACATATTTCCTACCTTGTAAAAGTCTTTATAATGCTAATTAGGTGACATATTGCATTGCATGCCAGGCAGCGTGGTTTATTGCAGTATGTGTTCAAAGTGCATCATACCTTATCTTTATTGAAGGAGCCAGTCACTCTGTTCCTCAGAGAGCTGAGAGTCCTCTTCACCTTCGTGCCTTTCTCCACCTTCTCTGTACGATCCTCCTCTTCGTCATTCCTTAACAATGGAGCAGAGAAGGAAACATAAATAACAATTATCTTGTATTTTTTTTTTTTATTGATTTCTTTTTTTTTAAAGGTCCCCTGTCATGGCCATTTCTACTGATCATAATTCCATTGTTGAGGTCTACTAGAATAAATGTATATTGTGCAATTTTCCAAACTCACATTGGTTTCTCATACAGCATCTCTGTATAGTATGTGTATTCACTCTCTGTCCTAAACGGCTTGTTGGAGCTCCTCCCCCCCCCCTCCCTGTGAGCCCAGAGGCGGAACTCAGCCTGGGCACACACACACACCCGCAGCCTGGCTGGGAGTTTGTGTGTGTGCCCAGGCTGAGTTCCGCGGTGTCTCACTGTCTCGCCGACCCCACACCAGTGAGCCAGCTCACAGTGTCCCGCTCCTCGCAGCAGCGAGCCTCGCAACGTCCCGCCGAGTGTGTGTGTGAGGAAGTCCGCGGATTGGTCCAAACGTAACGGCTCCGCAGACGTAACGTAACGGCTCCGCAGATTGGTCCATTTGGAGCCGTTACGTTACGTTACGTCACTATACCCGAAATACGTCACTATACCCAAGAAGTAAACAATGGAAAAAGAGAAATGTCCAACGAGGCGTTCTGGGGCAGCATAGACAGGTCTTTTCTGTGTTAGAGTTTTACTCGCTACAGGGTGTACTTTGAGGGTTAGTGACCCTGCAGACCGTTTACATGCAGAAAAAGCTACATAACACACAAGGGGAAAGCATGACATGGGACCTTTAAAAGATGTAATCAAGATATGTCATGAATGTTTTTTCAGTGAAATCAACAAACAGGAAATTAGTACATTTTTTATTTATTTTGATTAGATTTATTTTGATTAGATTACTTATTACTTAGGGAGAGTGCACATTAAAAATATATTTAGATGTGCCATAAGGCTATTTTTCATCCATAGTCTATGCAGATGTTTCAGGAAATACAATATGATCATATTTGTAGAATATGAATAAAATTAAAATAATCAAAATCTCACAATACAGGACATTACTTGCAACAACAAAAAAAATCAAAAACATATATATATTGAAAAGCAACAAGACAGCAACAGGTCACAGCAGAAATGGGTGATTTTGATTAAAAGTAATAGTTGCAGTAATTAGAAATGTTATTTGACTTGTTTCATGAACAGAAACCACAGCATTGCAGAACCAATGTGTACTGAACTGAAACCTAAAGGACACATATCATTCAAATCTTTCTACTACAATATTAACTAAAATGTTAAAAAAACACATTATTTTCTTTAAAATGAGTTGTTATCTTTAGATACTGTATGTCCCCTTAAATCTGTTGACTATGTTACCATTCCCTGTCATAGAAAACCAATGAAACAGCTCTATACAAATACACAAGACACATAGCAACCAATTATGGAGCATGTTATGATGTGAAATATATTACCTAAATGTCCCCAGCTTTAGTGATAAGTGAACAGTGATGAGGACGGTACTTACGCATTGGAGAGGAACTCGTACCAGGTTACACTTCCTGTAACTTTCTGCTTCGCTCTGTGGAGGACAATGAAGGTTTCAGCGTGGGAAGAAATGACCAAAAACGGCCAAATATGAACCATAAATAACCAGTAGACACTTTCAAAGCAGCGTCTTACATGTTTTAGCAAATATGTGTTCCTTTAAACTGATGTGTTTCATTCAGGCAAACTTCATTTTGTGTTAGGTGAGGCAAACAACAACCTTGATCTTGTGAATCAAAATGTAAAAACTGTGGTGACAAACACACCCTTTGACTGGATGATCAAACTGGGTGAGGGCCAAAACAGGCACATGCAAACACACGTGCCAAACACATGCACACAAAGGCACACACACACACACACACACACACACACACACACACACACACACACACACACACACACACACACACACGCACGCACACACACACACACACACACACACACACACACACACACACACACACACACACACACACACACACACACACACACACACACACACACACGGTGCTCCCCCTGGATCTGCAGACCTCCCTCTCATGTTTACTCACCTGTAGTACAGCTTCAGCTCCTGCAGAACTTTCTGTACCATCAGCCTGAGACAAACAACACACTGAGGCTGAGTGTGGGGGAGGAGGAGGAGAGGAGGACAGAGGAGACAAGGGAAGGACAAAGCAGAGGAGATGAGGACAGCAGGAGGAGGGAAGAGATGAAATGGGAGTAGATGATGAACGGAGAAAATGTGACAACAGGAGGAGGGGAGATGACTAGGACATGAGAGGCGATGAGAGAGGACAAAGAAGGACAGAGGAGAGGAGAGGAGGAAAGACAAAAGGAGAAGAGGACACAGACAGGGAGGAAAGATGAGATGAGATGAGAGGAGAAGAGGAGAGGAGGTAAGGAGATGAAATAGGAGTATAAGAGGAAAGGAATAAAGGAGATAATAGTATAGGACAGAGAAGAGAAGCGGATACAGAAGAGACAAGGAGACGAGACGAGAGGAAACAAGAAGAGACGAGAGGAGAGAGGAAGACAGGTTAGGGTGTAAGGATGTAAGGATGTAAGGATGTAAGGATGTAAGGATGTAAGGACAAAGTAGAGGAGAGGAGGAGAGAGGAGACGAAGGACCGGAAAGGAGAGTATAGGACAAAGAGGAAGAGAACAGAGGAGAGGAATGGAGTTAAAGATTAAAAATGAGGAAAGGAGGAAAGACGAAAGGAGATGAGGAATGGATAGAGGAGAGGAAACAAGAGGAGAGTTGGCGAGGAAAGGAGGAGGAATCGAGGAGGAGAGTAGAGGGCGAGACTGATAGGAGCGAGGTGTCATACTATGATTTAGTGAAGAATCCTCCCTTGTCTGCTCCTTCACACACACACACACACACACACACACACACACACACACACACACACACACACACACACACACACACACACACACACACACACACACACACACACACACACACACACACACACACACACACACACACACACACACACACACACACACACACACACACTAAGGGGCCATCTAAGGAGCTGGAGGACTGTGGGAGGAGGAGGTTTCAGGCGTATGACATGGAGCAGAGATGTCAGGGGGGAGTTGGGAAGGCCCCCCCCCCCCTCCTCCTGTACCAGACTGCAGAGATTTATGACCAGGGAACAGAATGTGAACTATTGTAATGACCAGAGAGAGCTGCAGGTACAATTTACAGACAATTACATCTTCATTGATGTCTTATTTTGTTTTAAATATCTGTCAAAATGAGTGTCCTACTACTCATAGGTACTGGATCAGGCTTACCTAGGACTGTTACCTCTCTTCTCCTGCTTCTCTTCCTCTATCTCTATGCACTCATGTCCTCTCTACTTGTATGCTCCCATAAATGCATCTTACTAGCTCAGTATCTGGGTCATCGTTGTGTTTTCCTGTCTGGCGCTCGCTTTCTTATTTTTTGGCGACACCTGAAAGATGGCCGACATCCTCAATCGATACATCGATCCCAGCCCATGCAGTCAACATGTCGATGTGTCGTCGGGCGAGATACTTAACCCCAACGGTATGAATGTTAGTTAACTTGTGCAAATGGCACTGCTGTGTATGACTGAGGTGTGAACGGGTGAAAGATGACGCTTTGAGGGGTCGTAAAGACTGGATAAAGCGCTATAAGTACAGTCCATTTACCATCCTCCTGGATCCATCCTTTGTCCTATATGTTCTCACTATCAGTTGTGCCATCTGGTTTGTGTTTTTTGTGACAATAAGAAACTCTTTGATTCAGCCTACAATAATACCGTCACCATGTCCTGAACTGTGAATATGAATTGAATTCATTTATATAATTCAATATAACAGTCAATCCTCATATTAAATACAACGTTTAATAATTCATAATTTATTGTCAATATTACTGGCTTCTACTTACTTATGCCTACGCTACATTATAGCGTGCCTGCCTCTTTATTTAAGAATGCAGTCTACTCTTTCCTGGTACAATGTACATTCTCCAATGTGAGACGGGTAAAGGATTTCTGATTCTGAATACCAGATCAACTGCACATTAAAGGTCCCATGTCATGCTTTTCCGGTTATTACCCGTCCCCTTGTGTGTGATGAAGGTTTTTATGCATGTAAACGGTCTGCAGAGTCACAAACCCTCAAAGTACACCCTGTAGCGAGTAAAACTCTAACACAGAAAAGACCTGTCTATGCTGCCCCAGAACGCCTCGTTGGACATTTCTCTTTTTCTTCCTGGGTACAGTGACGTGCCCATACCCAAATGGAACCATTGTTCCAAATGGACCAATCCGCGGAGCCGTTACGTTGAGTCCGTGGATTTCCTCACACACACACACACACAATCTTTTCTCAGCTACAGCTCCGCCGATTTCTCCTCCCTGAGACAGCGGGACACGGCGAGGCTGTGAGTCGGTGTGTGAGCACACACACAAACTCCCAGCCAGGCTGCGTGTGTGTGTGTGTGTGTGTGTGTTCGGGCTGGTTTCGGGCTGTGTCTCGCTGTCTCGCAGACGGCCACTGGGCTCATAGAGAGGGGTGGGGGCAGGAGCTCCAACAAGCCGTGTAGGACAGAGAGTGAATACACATACTATACAGAGATGCTGTATGAGAAACCAATGTGAGTTTGGAACATTGCACAATATAAATCTATTTTAGTAGACCTCAACAATGGAATTATGTTCAGTAGAAATGGCCATGACATGGGACCTTTAAAGGGTCTTTGAACATATTGTCTTTGGTGAATACTTGTCCTTGTTGATGTGCGAAAGATTCCAGACTTGAACTGATAATAAAGTATTATTGAACGTTAAAGAAAATGTATAAGGTGTGTGTGTAACTCAAGCTACAGCAGTCATATATCGTGCAGACTTACATGTGGCTCTGGCCGTCAGTAGAGTGCAGGTTTTCTTCAGGGTCGAACTCCTCTGCTGCAGGAGATACAAAAGGTCAAGTATGATGAAACAGCTGCTGCCTGCAGAGTGTAAAACATGTATCCTAACACACACACAGACACACACACACACACACACACACACACACACACACACACACACACACACACACACACACACACACACACACACACACACACACACACACACACACACACACACACACACACACACACACACACACACACACACACACACACACACACACACACACACACACACCTCCTGCCGCCCTGGCTGCCTGTTTGGACGTCTGCACAACACGGGAGATGTGAGCGGCGCGGGAACACTCGTCCGTGGCCAAGATCTCTGAGCGGGAGTACAGATGTCTGCGGGGAACTCCACAGGCCTGAGGGCGCGGAGAATAAACACACATCTGCATCACGTGCACAACAGATCTGTTCTACCTCCACTCCCCAACACACAGATACTTATGATGATTACTTTTACTAACAGTGGCACGGTTAGAGCCAGAATTAACTCAGAACTGATGTTAATTAAAGACACTGGGGTACCACACATTTTAAAAGTATTTTACTTAAAGGTGGGGTAGGTAATTTTGGAGAAACCAGCTCGAGTGCGCTAGAATTTGAAAATACACAGCCGGAAAAAATCTGCCACTTCCTTACAGAGCCCCTCCTCCAACACACACGAACGCGCACATGACCAATGAGGGCACGAGATAAGTTTGTGCACAGATGGAAGGCTGACAGGCAGGTAGGCCATCCAGTTATTTTAGCCGGGCCGGCTAAAGTGATTGATCTTGCTTTTTACAGTATTACGGCTTCCACAGATGACATTTTTTGTCAAAGCACTTCAGATATTCATTGCTATCGGGATGTTAAGAGCATTCCATGGAATATAACAAAAAGTGTATCTCGAGCCGGTTTCTCAAACTTACCTACCCCACCTTTAAGCAATATATTAAGTTTTCGTATTTTTGAGTCATTTTGAGAGTTTTTTCAAGTTGAAATCTTCTGTTAAAATCTTCTAAAAGCCTTTAATAGTTGGCAATTCGTATTAAGGCACTTTTTATTATTTATTGTTTTATTTAACATCCCACAAAGGCTCAGCGTTATTTCGTTTCAAATATCCAAGTTGTCAATTATCAGCCTTTTCCTATAAAGGATACATCTAGAAATGATTTATTATTACATTTTTAATTTTGGTTCTTATCTTCAACAAATCCCATTTAAAAATACCAACTGCAATTAGGGATTTAACCAAAAACCTTCCTGATGTTTCTAATGTAAGTTTGAACTTTGTGTACTCAGTGTAAGAATATTGGAAAAGAGGCATAATTCAGCAAAACCTAATCTATAAGGCACAATATTGTCCACTATTATTCCTGCATGTATTATTAGAGCCATTTCCAATTGGCTATATTTCATATAACATGACAATTTATTACGTTTTCTGAAGCATTTTTAACTAACTAAATGGTAACTTTTGATACCTTTTCTAAGTACCGTAGGTTTAACTAACTAAATGGTAGCTTTGCTGTGTTTTATCCTGCGTTGTAAAGTTATTAATAGCTTGCAAAGTTTGCAAAAATACAAATTTTCGAACTATCTCAGTAAGTATGGCAAGTTTAAAGGATTTTAGGATGTATGCCTTCAGTGGAAACCATCGTGTATGAAGCTGGAGTTTTGGTCTTGAGTTTTGGTCTTGAGTTTTGGTGTTGATTTTTGGTGTTGATTTTTGGTCTTGAGTTTTGGTCTTGAGTTTTGGTCTTGAGTTTTGGTCTTGAGTTTTGGTCTGGATTTTTGGTCTTGAGTTTTGGTCTTGAGTTTTGGTCTTGAGTTTTGGTCTAGAGTTTTGGTCTTGAATTTTGGTCTGGATCTTTGGTCTTGAGTTTTGGTCTTGAGTTTTGGTCTTGAGTTTTGGTCTTGAGTTTTGGTCTGGATTTTTGGTCTTGAGTTTTGGTCTTGAGTTTTGGTCTTGAGTTTTGGTCTAGAGTTTTGGTCTTGAATTTTGGTCTGGATTTTTGGTCTTGAGTTTTGGTCTTGAGTTTTGGTCTTGAGTTTTGGTCTTGAGTTTTGGTCTGGATTTTTGGTCTTGAGTTTTGGTCTTGAGTTTTGGTCTGGAGTTTTGGTCTTGAGTTTTGGTCTTGAGTTTTGGTCTTGAGTTTTGGTCTTGAGTTTTGGTCTTGAGTTTTGGTCTGGAGTTTTGGTCTTGAGTTTTGGTCTTGAGTTTTGGTCTTGAGTTTTGGTCTTGAGTTTTGGTCTTGAGTTTTGGTCTGGAGTTTTGGTCTTGAGTTTTGGTCTTGAGTTTTGGTCTTAATTTTTGGTCTTGAGTTTTGGTCTGGAGTTTTGGTCTTGAGTTTTGGTCTTGAGTTTTGGTCTTGAGTTGTGGTCTTGAGTTGTGTTTTCTAGACAGTAATCTGTATAATATGTCACCGGTGTTTTTTATTACCATGCTGGTGACTCTGGCTCTGGGACAGGGGACACTCAGACTGCAGTCGTCCGTCTCCTCTCCAGGACCCGAGCCGTATGTTTGCTGCTGTTGGGACTGGAAGAAACCTTTCAGTCCTTCCTCCTCTTCCTCATCTTCCTCTCTCTCTCCATCACTGTCCGTGGCCATGGTGTCCAGACTCAGCCTGGCAGAACACACACACACACACACACACACACACACACACACACACACACACACACACACACACACACACACACATATATAAGCACACAATTATTCTGATCCTTTACTCATGTAAAAGCACTTATATCACTCTAATAGTCTTTAACAAGTAAAAGTCCTGCATTCCTGTTAAAATATGTATGTATCGTCAGGAAAATGTACTAAAATTATTCAAAGTAAAAGTAGTTATTTCATAAATTACCTTTGTTAGTGTGATACTAGTAGACATTGTGTTATTCGATTATTATTTTCTCAATTAATAAAAATGTTTCCCCGTAAATATAGTTAAAATAGTGAGAAATGAAATGACCTAGAGCTCAAGGTGACAACTTCATAAGGAAAAGCAGTTGAAAAAAATTGTTTTGCGTGAAAATAGTTGTAACTGTAGTCAAATACTTCAACTTGTAAACTAGCTAAAGCTGTATTATGCATTAGGGCAGAATAGGTACAATATAGTCCTCTGAAATTTAGTATACTGTAACAAACATTTGAGCAGGACTCTGTGACCTGAGTTTGTCGGTGGTATTTTAGTGCACCGTATATTCACCTGACAAAATAGCCTCTACTTCATTTTTGAAGAAGCTGTGGTAAGACACCATCTACACCACGAGCCACACTGAGCTCAGCTAGATGACAGCAACAGGGTTATTACAATAAGCTATGTGAAAATGTTTACTTTTCAGGTAAAACGTATGTCAGTGTATATAACGTGATATTTTACAGCAGCTTGCAACAACATTCATATTTTCAGTTTGCTTCAAGAAGTTAAATAACTTTTTGCCATTTTTCTAGTTAACTACTGAAACTACAAACTACAATTTCGGGCCTAAAAAGAACATAATTATTTTGATTATCTTTACACTACTAATGCCATTGTACTGTGATTAAACCCCTTTGAGCAGCCCAGACCCATTTGTCTTTCAATTTAAGCTGAATAATGTTTTTAGTGGGTATAGAAAAACGTTTTGTATAACTGTGAACACTGTAAAGTGATTGAGCTAAACTCAATTAAGTGTTTTTTTTTGCTAGGATGTCCCTTTTTGTATTAGATTTTGTTATTATTTATTATTTGTTGGTGTTTTTGTCACATTTTCAATGTTTACAACCTAGTTTTGAGTCCTTTTCCAAGCAGCTTTGTGTAACCATCTTCCCCAACAATGATCATAAATCAAGTGCAGCTTTTGTGCAATTATATTGATTTTTTATGAGATTGGTTCTTCTAATTCTTTCCATCCTTTCCAAACATCCACCTCACCTCCTCCCCAAGGTAATGGGGGACATGGGGACCCCCAAGCTGTGCCTCCGAGACGTGGACATGGACCGGACCAGAATAGGGAAGCTGTCCTCGTCCAGCTCTCCATCTAAATCCACACCGCCCTGCTCCTTCTCCTCCTGCGATCCCGTTATCCCTTTAGCCGTCTCCATCGACCCCAGCAGTCCGTTCAGATTAATGGTCAGGCTCAGTCCTACTGCAGGACCCGAGGACTCATCGCTGTCAATGATGCAGCCTGGGTGTAACTTCGGCCTCAACTGAGTGACCACAAAGTTCCGATGTGACTCCTCTGCAGGGTGGATGTAGAAGGGGGAAGATGGTGCATTGACTCGATGAGAATGTGTGCTCAGAGAAGTGTGTGTAGGCTGTTTGGTGTCTGTGTTTAGAGACACCTGCAGGCCGAGAGGTAGGGGGTTTCTCTCTGTGGATGCAGTAAAAGAAGCCGGTATCCCTCCCTCCAGGTCTTTAAAGTACTCTGAGTCTTTGAGAGAATAGCTGAGGTCCAGCAGGTCCTCCACACTGCTGCTCAACTCAGCACAGGGGCAGTCGTAGTCGCTCACTACTGAACACGCATCCTGTATAAGCAGAAAGGACGGAGCCAGGAAAGATTTAAAAACAGTGGAGACATGGAGAAAAATAATTGACATGTAGATGAGATACATATATTCATGCAACATTTAAAAAAGTGTGTCTTTAGAAATGCTATCAGCTTCTTAAGGGTGTGCTTAGAAAAAGCACTTTCATCAGAACAACAATAAGTTGCTCACAATGACATTTATATCATCGCAAATGTTAACCAAAATGAATCAAAATTCCAGCAAACTACACGTTTGACATGTGCTTCCTTTGATTCGCTTTGTGCTTCAATGCCATCAGATTAGTCAGTCAGTCCGTCATTATTAAAAAGCATCGTCCAAAGACTAGATTACACATTTAATATATTCCTCATATAAACAAAATTGTGCTAACACCTTGTCGTTTCTTCACGGTGAAAATAAAAAAGTTTTCTTTAGGTTTACACAAATAGATTTTTCACAAAAAACAAACAATATGTCTTAATAAAAAAGGATTTGGTTAGTCAGTAGATTATGGACAGGGTGCAAAAGTACCTTTTATTTTTGTTAACCCGACAAATGACTAATGAAAGTTCAAATCAAACTTTAGCAGACACTTAATTTATGAATGTTCTTTTGGCTGGTATGTGCCCGCATATCTACTACCCAGTTGCATCTTTAACCGGCATTTGGCTCCTACGTGGTGTTTTTTTTCGAGCCCTGGTTCTGAAGATCTATTAATCTCCAGCCAGAAAGATAGCATGACTCATAACGCAAAGAATATAAACAAATAATGAGCTTTACCTTGTCTTTTGTGGAGCTCCCAAAGAAGGCATCTTCAGCGATGGAGGGGGGGGGGCAGTGAGGAGGAGGACCCCGTCCCGAAGGGGGCCTGAGGCGGGACACTGAGAGAGGCACTTGGAGACCCACAGGGTGCAATGCATGGTTTACACTCTGACGCTGAAAGATAATCAATAATTGAGTTATACACACTCGCAAATTCAAGAACTTCAACAGTACCATAAAGAAAAAACACAATGAAAGAAAGACGTTGCTGAATTCAGCTGCAAAATACCAGTGTCATAAATTAACGGGATATTGTACACAATTATTGACACAATAATATTGACAAGCTAAACTTTACAAGGCTCTGAGGTGTATTTGAAAGCAATAAAAACAGAATAAAGGCATGTGCCAAAAAGATTGAATACTTTGAAAAAAGCCATTGTTCATAGTGAACATTTTTACTAATATTAATAATAATAAGTATCTAAAGACCTTAGTATTTCTATTTTACTTTAGTATCATAGCTTCTTCCACCTCTGCAGACAGACACAGTGGAGATATATTTTAATTTTATTAATAAATCACTCGGGGCAGCAGGGAGTATTTGTTCGTGTTTGAATCGCTCTCGTTTTTAAGTGTAAACTCAGACACTGGGACTCTGCTTGATGCTGTCCTGTGTTGCTGCTGTAGCCTTTTATGGTTGGCCTCTTATATCTGCTAATACATCACACGGGGGATGCAACATCAGTGTGTGTGTGCGTGTGCGTGTGTGTGTGTGTGTGTGTGTGTGTGTGTGTGTGTGTGTGTGTGTGTGTGTGTGTGTGTGTGCGTGTGCGTGTGCGTGTGCGTGTGTCCATAACTGTTTTGGCACTGTCATAGTCAGCTGTTTTCCCCACAGTGGCTCCACATAACAAAGTGTGGTCTGGAAATTAATGTCTGCACTACCGACTAATAAATCACCAAATTACATTAACACTTAACCTTACATTTATTATAATTGTACACTTAAAATGAACTCAATATTAGACTTAATGTACTTTATATAATGTTTTATTTCTCTATTTAATATTGTTCCTCTTTTCTTCACATTTTATTATCACAAGTGTACCCTCTCTCTACACATTACTTAAAATTAAAGATCTATAGAAGATGTCATATTTTGCAAGAATTGTAAATCTTTGAAAGACAGTTTTGATTTAGTGTTATACTCGTAATTGACATGACATTGCTGGACAAATGCCCCAAAACAAATTAACTATGATACTCAATCTCCAAAACAAACAATATCTGCAATAAATACTTACAAATCTTCGTTTTAAAGGTGAACATTGGAGGGCGTAGCTACGAGCTAACCGCTACCATTAGCTTAGCTTGTAGCTATCTCTGATCATTTAAGATCCAGATGACGACTTAAATTCTTTATCCGGTTAAAATAAAAAGTTATTACAAAATAAAGACAAAATGTGACAGCTTCTGGAAGACAACTCTGACGCTTTTATCCAAACATAACAAGGTCCAAGTCTCTCAAGTAGCAGGGAGCTAAAGCTAGCTGCAGCAGCATTAGCATATGGCCATATTCCAATAATATGTAGATAGCAAAGTGGATTTTATATCATATTTTCAGTTTTTTAACATGCCCTTATTAATATTTTATATATTTTTTTAAATATCTGCTAATACATCACACAGGGATTTGTGATGTATCCCTGTGTGACATTTAAAGTGATTTAAATGTATTAAATCACTTTATGTAATGTCAAAAAGGATCAAACGCCATTATAGGACAACAAACGCACAGTTGCTGTATCTTGATTGAAATCACACATTTTACTATATAGTTGGACATTTTTGGGATAATGTCAGTAGGCCAGACAACTCAAGAAAATATATAACATAGTCCTTTTTAGATTAATTTGGAAATGTAACATATTATACAACACAGTCTCACGGCATTTCGTGTTATATGTCCCAAGTTAAGACTGACAAGACCAAATGAATCGTTATCTCAATTAAAATAACGCATTTCTCATGTGAGTGCCCAATTCAACAACATACATGACAAATGTCTACTGACTTTATGATTTCAATGTTGAAATGTTACATCTTATACTTTTAAATCTATATAAATAGGCTTCTTCGAATCTATATAGTCAGTAAGTTTACACACAATTCTCTATGATAAAAGAAAATGACAGATGTATGTGCCACGGTATGTTTGTGTTAGCTGTGTAAAAATAGGAAGGCCTTTGAGCAAATGTCAAAAGAAGGAAATGAGGGCACATGTTCACCACAAAGCGTACATATGATACACACACATCTACATGACAATCACAAGAGGAACCTGAGCATCATATGATAGGTCAGTTGATTAGTACAATGACAGGCCCATGACAAAGTAGGCCTACACACATTTAAAGAAGGTGTTTTCAACAGAGACAGAAGTTCAATAAACACCTTTTTATGTAGTGTTAAGGTCTTTCCGATAAAACACAAACACACACACTGAGCTCATATATTCTCAGCTAAAAAATAAGCACATGACAAGATAAAAATCACACTTGTAAGTCATGTAAGAAAAATATATTGTTCAAATAAAAGTGTTTGGATTAAGGTCACGGTGACGGTGCAAGTGTGTGTGTGTGTGTGTGTGTGTGTGTGTGTGTGTGTGTGTGTGTGTGTGTGTGTGTGTGTGTGTGTGTGTGTGTGTGTGTGTGTGTGTGTGTGTGTGTGTGTGTGTGTGTGTGTGAGAACAGAGCACAGAGGCTGTTAGATCTGAGGTCGTAGAACACATCAAAACAACTGTCATCTCACAGATCCTCTTTGATCAGAAATTCGTCCGACTACAGTTTCAAAGCACCGAGCTTGGCTGAAGCAAAATGGAAACATCCTACACGGCTCCTTCACGTCTAAGAAATATGATAATCCACTGAAGATAACAGCATGGCAACTGACAGCATGACATAATTCAAGCTCTGCATATTATAGAGAAAGAACAACAATATAAGTTTTGTTTGCAAAAAAGCTACATTTTTCAGTTGTTTTTCAGACTTTCTTAATGTACTTAAAAAAACACTGGATTTAAGTTTTAGATGTTACAGTGGTACAAAATGATCATTCTGCAATGCACAATAAAACATGTTTTTTAGAGTACACAAATTTTGTGCATTTTCACATCTTTTACACAGGAATGGAATATAATTGCATTTTGAAAGCCAATATTGTACTATATTTATCTGACAGCTTAGTTATTTACAGATTCAGACAACTTGCTTATACAGAATATAAATGAACTAATAAATAAACAAATTGACATCAAATTGAGGTTGAGATGTCCAGCAGCAGTATACAAAGAAATTACAATTATCACCACCTTTACCAGCAGTGATAGACACATTTAAGCATCAATAACCTAGTCATTTAAAATATATATGATTCTGAATTGAGCCAAAACAAGTACTTTTCTTCAAGATACTTGTATGTAAGTTGATGCCAAACTTTGGTACTTTTGCTTAGGTAAGATTTTGAAATTCTTACTTTTACTAGCTGAGTATTTTTACGGTTCAGTAGTGCAAGATAACTTCTTCTGCCACTGCTTAAAGAATGCACCAGGCTTTGAAATGACTAACTGTACTTTCACAGCAGCCATTGTTTACCACAAGCCCCAAATCAGATAAAAACTGTTAGACAACAGCAGATAAAAAGATCACATCCAGACCACTTCCTCCACTACCTGTTTTTTCCACTCAATATTTCCTCTCCAAAACACGAGGAGTAATCTGAATATAAAGCACTACCTCTCTTGAAGGACCATCTCTTCATCCAGAGTTTGGAGAAGGAGGGCCAGGAGTGGTTGAGAGGAGAGTCCGCCATACGAGCAGCGCAGTGGGGAGGCCAGCAGGAACTGGAGCTCCTCACATGGAGCACCCAGCGAGAGGAGAGGAGGGGAGGGAGGAGGAGGGAGGGAGGAGGAGAGAGGGAGAGTCCAAGGGAAGCAGTAAGGAGCGTCTGGTTGGGGATTACCTCCCGAGAGACGGAACAAAGAGCAGCACAGCAAAATAATAAAGACGTGACAGAGGGAAGAGAAAAGGAGGCGTGATGGTGTTTCGTTTCCCGAGTCCTTAGTAAAGCCCCAATTCAATCCCCAAGTCAAGACGGACAAGTTCCACATCAAGTCCAAAGTACAGTAAGACAAGTTCAAGGTCAAATCCAAAGTCAATTTCCAAGTCAAGCCTAATACGTTCCAAGTCAAGACTGGCCAGTCCCTAGTCAATTCCCAAATCTAGACTAATTCACTTAAAGCAATTCCCAAGTCAATAATGTCCCAAAACCTAAATCCCGAGTCTCAAGTCAAGTCCATTATCCACACGGGCAAGTCAAAAGTCTGAGAATTATACGTTTCCCATCCTTAGCGGGTCAGAATGTGTATCTGTTGGTAATTTACGTCACACAAACAAAGTGGGGAATTAAGTTGTGGCATGCTGGAAGTGAGCAGCGTTAATGGTAGATGCAATTGTATTATTTATATGCCATACTTTTTAAATAATATAAACTAGTATTTTAGGTCAAAATGCTCAAGTGAAGACACAAGTCATCGGTGTTAAAGTCCAAGTCTCGTTGCAAGTCTTGTGTGGTCTTATCAAGTCGAGTCTCAAGTCATCGAATGTGACACTTGAGTCCACACATCGGACGACAAGAGACCAAAGAGGAGATCAGTGAGAAATGTTTACGGTGTGAGTACAGATGTCGTTAAGTGTATTTAAATTGTAATGAAATGCCTTAATGTTCACTGTTTTTCACCAGCTTTAGGATGTCATTGTTTCAGGGAAATAGGGCCGAAATAAATAAAGAGGAAGGAAGTATACGCAATAAAAGTAAAGAACAATGACACATGTAGGCTGATTTCTGATTCTGAGTCATAGTGGCAAGCAGCACCACATCCATGAGAGCAAGAAAAACAAGTGAGGTTTTTAAAAATATATATGTAACTAACTATAGAGGATAATACAGAAGAGAGAGGGGAGTATCTCAGCTTCTAGAGCCTGACAATTGTTGCAATCGTGCTTCTTAATGTGTGCAAGTGTAACTACGCATGACTGTCAAACTCAGCTCACTGCACATCAAGAGGAAAAGTCTTCTTACTTTCCCACAGACAGAGGAGGAGGCTGCACACAGAAATGCTCTCACACAGAACTCAGAAACAACTCACATTTCAAACAATCTAGGACAGAAACGGGCCCTTTGTGTGCAGAGAACTCAAAAAAAGGAACTTAAATTCTACTTACATGTGTTGATGGTGGCAGGTGGCAGTGTGTGAGTCCTGTAAACGTGCAGAGAGGAGGAAAGGTGGTTGAAAGTGTATGAAGCTCTCTGAGTGTGTGAACGTCGGCCTCACACTGACTGCACAGAGCCGCAGGAGCTAACCTCGCTTCCTCTTTCTGCAAATGACGCGCTGCAGTTTCACACACCGCTGCTGCTGCTTTCAAATGTGTCAATAGTAGTATGGCAGAAAGTTGCATCAAAGCATTATCGTGTCATACTGACTCGAGTATTTCTTTTTTATGCTAAGCTAAACTTCAAATCCACTACATTTTGGAGGAAAATATTGTGTTTCTGACTGCTCTACATATATTTAAAACTCATAGTTACTAGCTACTTTTTACATATACTTTTTACTGTTATCCTAACCCATTGCCAAACTATATTTGATAATATTTGATTACATTTAGATATAGTTAAGTATAAGTATTTACTTTATTTAAGGATCCAGTTAAATGTGCACCGACATGTATTTTTTGTGATACAAATAGTCATTGTGCATCATGTGTACTTTCACTTTTAGACTTTAGGTAGATTTGACTGAATATTTCTGCTTAAGTAACATTTTAGATTCAGAACTTTCAGTTGTAATGGAATATTTTAAAACTGACATACATCTTCTTTTACTTAAAGGTGGGGTAGGTAATTCACTTCAGAAACACTTTTTGTTATATTCCATGGAATGCTCTTAACATCCCGATAGCAATGAATACATGAAATGCTTTGACAATAAATACATAAACAAATGTCATCTGTGGAAGCCGTAGTACTGTAAAAAGCACGACCAATCATCTGAGCCGGCCCGGCTAAAATAACTGGATGGCCTACCTGCCTGTCAGCCTTCCATCTGTGCACAAACTTATCTCGTGCCCTCATTGGTCATGTGTGCGTTCGTGTGTGTTGGAGGAGGGGCTCTGTAAGGAAGTCTGAAGGAAGGGGCAGATTTTTTTCGGCTGCGTACTTTCAAATTCTAGCGCACTCGAGCTGGTTTCTCCATTCTTACCTACCCTACCTTTAAGTAAAGGATATGAACCCTTCTTTCACCTCTGCACATGTTACCAGTTCCAAATTAACCATATTTCTTTGCCTTACAGACTTAACATATATAGTAAACTTTATAGATGCATGCTTCAATGCCACCCTGCAGTATCTCATGATGACCTCCTTTAGTCTGGTGTGTGTTCTTGATGTGTGTTCTTGATGTGTGTTCTTGATGTGTGTTCTCCATGTGTGTTCATGTGTTGTGTATCTTGATGTTTTGCAGCTGCGTGTTGCTGCAGAGCTCTGATAGACGGTGTGAGGAGGAAGTAGTCTGCAGTGGTTTCATCACTTTCATCATGCTCCACCGCCATCTTTACTGTGAGATCTGACTGTAGGGTGTGAATGAACACAGATTACAGTAGGAAACGTGCATCAGTGGTGCAAAAGAATGAAGTACATTTAAAGGTACTTTAACTGCACTTAAAGGTAAGTTTGAGAAACCGGCTCGAGATCGCTAGAATTTGAAAATACACAACCGGAGAAAATCTGCCACTTCCTTACAGAGCCCCTCCTCCAACACACACGAACGCGCACATGACCAATGAGGGCACGAGATAAGTTTGTGCACAGATGGAAGGCTGACAGGCAGGTAGGCCATCCAGTTATTTTAGCCGGGCCGGCTCAGATGATTGGTCGTGCTTTTTACAGTACTACGGCTTCCACAGATGACATTTTTTAATGAATTTTTTGTCAAAGCACTTAAGATATTCATTGCTATCGGGATGTTAAGAGCATTCCATGGAATATAACAAAAAGTGTATCTCGAGCAGGTTTCTCAAACTTACCTACCCTACCTTTAAGTAGAATTTGAAAGTACGTTACTTGAGTATTTTTATTTTATGCTACCATACACTTCACCGCCACAACATTTTAGAAACTAATATTGTTGTCCACTACTTTCATCTGACAATTTAACAGATTGAGAATACGTGTTAATATGAAATATACAGTACATTAGTTATTAAATTAAATATTGACATATATTTTTAGGTTAACAAAGTCAGCAACAAAAATTTACTAAAATAAGTGACATTTTATCATGTCATGCTAATCCAGTTATTTAATATAGGATTTTAAAACGGGCCTATAGCATTAACGAGCACTTTTGGTAATTTGTTACTTTAGGCATATTTTGATGCCAATACTTTTTACAATTTTTAATGCAGGATATTTATTTATTTACACTTTAGTAATAATAATAATAATAATAATAATAATAATAATAATAATAATAATAATAAATTATATTTATATAGCGCCTTTCAATGGACCCAAGGTCGCTGTACATGGTGGACAATCAAAGGGCAAACAAAAAATAGAGGAAGCCGGGGGACCAAGAAAGGGCTAGGGCCCGAAGGCCAGGGTGAACAGGTGTGTTTTTAATGATGATTTGAAGATGTCCAGGGAGGCAGCATTACGGATCTTGGCAGGAAGTGCATTCCAGAGGGTGGGGGCCGCAACACTGAACGCCCTGTCACCAACAGTTCGAGAGAGAGCGATAGCGGGGGATGGAGAGCAGGCCCGTGTCTGAGGACCGCAGACTCAGAGAAGGGGTGTAGGGATGGAGGAGGTCCGATAAGTACTGGGGGGCGAGGGTATGGAGGGACTTGTACGTGAGGAGGAGTGTTTTGTACTGAATCCGGGACTTGACCGGCAGCCAGTGGAGGTGGATGAGGGTGGGGGTGATATGTTGCCATGGCTTGGTGCGGGTGAGAAGCCTGGCGGCAGAGTTCTGGACATATTGGAGCCTGGCCAGGGTTTTGCTGGGAACCCCGGACAGGACTCCATTGCAGTAGTCCAGACGGGATGTGATGAAGGCGTGTACAAGTGTTTCTGCCACAGAGTCAGAGAGTGAAGGCCGGAGTCTGGCAATGTTTTTGAGATGGTAGAAGGCGGATTTGGTAACAGATTTGATGTGCGCCTGGAAAGAGAGGGTGGTGTCCAGGATGACTCCCAGGTTGCGGACTTCAGTTGACGGGGAGATGGAGCAGCCGTCAATGGAGAGAAGCAGGTCTCCAACCTTCTGTAGTGTAGTGCTATTTTTACTAACGGCCTGTCCACACGGCGGCGTGCGTTGTCGCTTGCCGGCGGGGGGGGCTGAAACTCGACCAACAACCAATCACATGAATCTCCCGCCCCGGACACACAAGCACGCGGTTTGATTGGCTAGAGCTTGTACTGGCATATGATTCGATTGGCTGATGCTTCCGCCGAAGCTTCAAAAGTTGAACATTGCTCAACTTTCGTCGCGAGCAAATCTACGCTTCGCTCCCACAATGCAGTTCGGCGAAACGTGACGTCACCCCATTCAAAGTGAATGGACAGAAGCGTTGAAGCTTCAACGCACGCCGCCGTGTGGACGGGCCGTAATAGTAGTAATTACAAATACTGTATCACAAGTTTTACTTATGTAATGTAGGCAAATATATTATCAGCAACCTGTACTTGAAGATTTGGGTGTAAATAACTAATTGATTTATTTTTATCTCATATAATTTGCATTATTACATAATCATTAAAATGAACATCATCGTAATAGTGTATGTG